CATTAAGGACTTAATTGTTGTATGGTTTCGAAACATGGCCTGTGTGGACGGATAGTATGAAATGTCTTCAGATTTTCTACCACCGATGCCTCAAGTGTTGCTGGCGTCGTAGCAAGGTCATCAGGAGAATTATTTGGTTGTGCAGCAGGTACTTCATTTGTGGCAAACATCCAATACCATCAACTACAGTGGCTCGGCCATGTGCTACGCATGACGAAACACCGTCTACGGAGACGAGCGTTATCCTCCGTGTTCCTTTCGGAATGGCCTAAACCATAAAGTGGACAAAGTATGACTTGGCAGAATCGTGTGACAGATGCGAAGAGTTTGGGTGTTGTTGGTGCGATTCGCCTTCCAGAGTAAGGTTCCCGTGACCCCTCTTTCTCTTGGCTGGAAACATTGCAAGAAACGGCGGCTGATCGGTGTCAATGAAACTCTTGTAATCAGTCTCCTTTCAGGTTGTCTGACTGGATGCTTGGAGGTTTGGGCACCTCAGAATGCTTGCGATAGGGCATCACCAGGTCCCCTCCCTCGTCAACTATTTTTCTCATTCTAAGGCTTCAAACACAATTAAACGAAATTTGTGGTGAGGCAGTGAGGCATCAGTGTCGACACTGATGATGATGCATCCTCGGCCAGAGTCGAACCCAGCTCGATTCTCACGAATCTCTCTCTCCCGATAACCGATGAACCTACGCAGAGTAATGTTGGGAGCACCTTAAATGTGATAAATACCTGGCTGGTACCACGGTGGTCTTCGCCGGACGTTCTCGTGCCCTTTTTTGAAGACTGAGATCACAGCTGAGGTTTTCGATTCCCTTGGTATTCCGTTTTTTTTATTCTTGCGCAGTAGGGTCTTCAGGCTGCTCACCACCTTTAAAGAGTGTCGGGTGGAGATCATCCGATTCGGGTGACTTACCGCATTAGAGGAGTGATATTTCACGCTCGATTTCTGTTGTTGATGGCGGGCTGGTGTCGTTGTTTTATTCGGACCGTTTGCGTTGTTCCAGCGGTTGTATTGAAAAAGATCAGCTGAGCTGTTATTGCCGCTCCGTCTTTTTCGCATATCGCTTCGCCGATCGAATCAACTGAAATAGGGCGCGATTTCTGCATGTAGTGAGTGTCTTCTTCATCTCCTGATCCACTAGCGTTCTCTGTCAAGCTGTTGCTTATCCGGTGCTTGAGGGATCTGTATGCGCCATTATGGTGGCCAGTTGGTCCTATCGCCTTTCTGTTAGCAATAAGATATATTGATCTCGGTTATGTCCAGTGTTCATTTCCTAGAGTCTGATGACCTGGACAGGCTGTTCTAAAAGCTTAGAGCATAGCCACTTTAATTCGGTTCCATTCAATCTCCATCCAGTCTTCGTCATCAGTTTCCAACAGCCTTCTAACCATGTTAGCTTGATACTTTTGAGCTACCAAAACTTGTCGAAGTTGATGAACGGAGTTGTTCTGCTTCGGCACGCATAATGCTGATGGAAGTGATAATTGGTCCCTCATAATGGCATGGTCGAAGTTAAATGGTTTGATTGAGACTCCCCGTCGGCAACTGCCTGGCACGTGTTTCAACTGTGTCCTTGACTGTTTTGCGGTTAGTGGCCTCTAAGTAACTCGATATTTGTTTTTGCTGAGAGTTCGGACTGGCCAGCAACCGATGATCTTCCGCGCACAACTGAAGAAGTTGCCCGCATCATCCGTACGCTGAACATCGACCTCACCTAACTCTACTCCTTCTGAGCTAAGTCGTTCAACCTAGGTGCTCACATCATTCGCCAGAATGACTACATCCGCTCTTGTTGACCGAAACAGTCACAACAAATCTCAGTAAGGCCCGTCCTCAAATTCAAAACTGAACTCTGTTGGGGCTTATACTGATACGACAGATGACGGGTAGTGTGGGTGTGGCGACACTACCCATTAAACCAGGCAACCCTAGAGCGTAAAGGCGACTATTTACCGGGATCCAGCGCTTCCAGCCTTGGGACTGGGTGCCACTCCTACACTGGGGGTACTACGGACAATTGTGTTGGGATTGACCGTAGTACATCACCTGAAGGTTACGGAGGGGATGTGAGTGAAAGCTGACGAATGAAGAGCTACAGTTGGGAACGATGCTCCCCGGTCGCCCGGGCCGAAGAACGAGGTTTGGTTGGTGTACCCCATCTTGAGCCTTTGACTCAAAATGCTGACCCACAATATAGCGGGACAAGGTAGGCTTTTGTTCCATGATCCTGAGGAAGTAAGTTCCAGACCGCGTAGCCCACAGGTTCATTGCAGCCTAGAAGCCCGATCGCCACGACAAGGCAGCAGCTTTTGTTCGAGCCAGTTGTCTGCTGGAGAGAGGTTTCTGAGGCTCCGTTGGTCGGATCCATTGAAACAACGTGCTAACCTTTCGGGCTTTTTTCGTTTAGATATTTTCTACCTTCTCGACTTCACAGGTCTCCCGATCCGCATGGACTCTCGAATTACTTTGTCGTTAGGTTATGGTTGTATCCGGAACGCATCTTTTTCTATAAAATTCGCCTTACCAAAAATTCTATGTATGAATGAGACTGAAGTTGTGCTGTGAAGAGCAGTTCTGTCATCCTAGAGATGTCGGTCCGGTGGGAGCTAACTTACGAAATCCGGTCTGCTGACAAGGCTTTGGTGTATTGTTTTTGGAGTCCACGAAGTTTGCGTTAACCCAAAAAGTGAAATAAACGGCGATAACGGATGATCCTGGATTTTTCCAGGAACCTTTGTAGCGATTATTACTCCTCACCGCCGATGACTGATGTTCATGTTGTCCACCTGGATCCATGGAATCAGTGGTGAGCAGCATATCTCCTAATGACTTTCGCTGTTATAAAAGTCATTACTGTGACGAGAGCCTGATCAGCGCATGTCCTCGTTTCCCATGCCTGGTCCCAGCCTAGCACCGGTTTGGACTCATCAACTCTAAGTGCGCGTTTCTCACTAGTAACCAAACTCATGGATTTGTAGCCCTTCGCCAAGGAACACCTTGAGTCTCATAGCTGTTGTGTTTGTCAAGCTCAGGTATATAGTTCTGTCGGACGCAATAGCTCAACTGCAACTCCCTTTCAGTGACTAGCTGGCATGCCACCTGAAGGAACCACGAGGACTGAGGTAATTTCAAGTTCCCCAAGCATAGACAGCAGCATTCGAGAAGCTGAGGTTAGGTTCGGACCATGGACGTTCCTATCAACAAGCTCGCGTGTTAACCATTGTTCGGACCTAATTGTCCACTAAACAACAGATTTTGGACTCGTCAACGCGGCGCCCACTCTTGCATATTCAGTTACAGCCTCCTGTGCCTCTTCAGAGGTGCGCAAGTGGAAGCTGGACGATAATGAAGGTAGTCGGCACAGTTACGATTGCTGCATCTTGCATTCCGATATGACAGAAGAAAAAGGAAGGATTCAACTCACGAGCATCAGCTGGCTGTTGCACTGTTTGTTTCATAGTGTTGTTTGAAAGATGAATTGTGATGTGTTTAGTTTGCTGTTTCCACATAAACCAGCCTGTTTAGTCTATAGGGGTGACTCCACAACCACGGGAGGACTGCCAAATTTCATGTATGATAGACAATTCTGGCAAACTATCCTTTCGTTGTCTTGCAGCAATGCCGTTGATAGTTTGGTGTTGGTACAGTTTTGCGACACTGGAAATTCGCTTTAGTGCAGATGTTGTGGATGGGAACTATCCACTTTCTTTCCAACGTTAGTCTTCATCAGTCGGTTTGGGCTTACGCCCTCTTACTTGATCATAAAAGTACTGGAGGTGAACTTTTGTGTTGCTTATGGCCAACTCCATCGCAGGTGTCCCGGAAGGGAACCCTTGTGGTAAAAGCACCATGCCAACAGTATTTTGTCAATTACTTCTTTAATATTTTGATCTTTTGTCATATTCTCCATTCCATCCACAGAAACCTACGCGAAAGTTTTGAATGTCAGACTGGATCCATTTCTTCTTTTGATAGCTGATCAGGTGGCGAACAGATCAACGACCACCTGACCAACCACCAATGAACGCATCTGGTATTTTTCCAGTTTGTCGTTGGGCTCAATGATGTCCCATCTCATTATCACGATTTTGTGTACGACAGTGTAACGGTTCTCTAGCTTTCGACCTATTGTGTTTAAGGGGTCTGGTTGAAACCATATTCTCTAGTGCAAGAAGAATCCGCAAACTAAGTAAATCGAAAGATAGAAAGAGTCCTTGACGCGGCTCGTGTTAACTGATGAGGAATCAACGCTGCTCATGGAAATCCACACACCCATTAGGCCTAAAAATCTGTAACCCATAAGCCCGGACAAAAGCCTGGTTATCTATTCTCATCGTTTGAAGGCAGTCCTTTACCCCTGACATCAGGTATCAACTAAACCCCATGATTGTACCTACTAGCTCAATCATAATTTGTTAGGCGTCTGTAATGTGATAGTTCTCCCAGTTTTTCAGGTCCATGCTATCAAAAGGCGCAACTGAACGCACCACAATTCATCCTTAGAGCAGCGGTACGCACTTCAAGTGTCATAAGTCAAAAGGTGACCCAACGTCTGCAACCACCAAGTGTCTTCGAAAAAACAGGCCACTGGACCGATCCGAACATTTAGTCTTGCGTCTTATGACCAGGGCTGAAAACGCCTGTCCATCAGTTCTGTGCACACAGGGAGTGTGGATGCAAAACAACGGACTGCCATGGTTCAAATCACGTTATTTGTCTGGTTGACTTCTCGCTGCAGAGTAGTAGGACTGCTGACATTCCATGTCAACCAAATGTGCCGAAAGGTTCGGACAACTTGAATTCAAGAATGTTGTCTTTAGAATCTTATCGTGACATGTAACGAAAGCGCTCGAATTTTTCTTTGCATGAACTTACCGTGCTACCACGACGGGAGTCATCTATGAGTCATAATTTGTCATTTTTCCAAATAGCACGTTTTTGCTCGAAATCGTTGCTTCTGCATAGCAGTTGCCCGAAAACCCTGGGACCGAAAATGACGGACGTGGTACCGTGGCTAATGAGTGGGACCAGTATGGGGATAGTGTTTCGGACTCGAAGTATTTTAATGTGGGTTTTATCGCGCAACTGAAGACAATCTATTCTGAGTTGCTTCGTTCTCGCTGGAACTCATCAGTGTGCATCTGTTAATCCTCCGGGGAGATTTCTTGTGGAAGTTTTAATGGAATGTTGCTAAGTCATTTTCAGTCAAAAGCGTAAATCAGACACCGATCTACGTTTAGTCTCAGTGGTCACACTCACCTAAGTTTCGCATCGTCAGTCTCCTTCAAGCTTCGGGTCAACTTAGTCATTAGAATGGGGCCACTCAGAAAACGGAAACAAAAAAGCTAGAGCGTGATCCACTGTCGGCGACACCTCTTTTCGCCTGCGTTATTCATGAGTGGTCTGCTTCGGGTGTCATCCAGTCTTCTTCGCCCACACTTTTTTATCTTAAATAATTCTTCTTGCGCTATCTCCATAAGGAGGATTTGATTCAGTACACAGATACGCGATACTGGAACAACGCCTGAAGTATATGACAATTAAACATTGATACGTAGTTTGATAAGAGTGGGACTAGCCTACAGCACATCAGTCTATCATCTGTGCGCTCTCTTTAACGAGATAAGAGCATATACCTTACAACCGACTAAGGTGGCTGAGCCCCTTGTTCCCTTGAAAATGAAAAAGCCTGCATGTGGGCAGCATCGTCCGACAATTTCATAACACCCTTCTTCTGATAACAAATTCAATTCGTGTTAGAATAGCACCTTTGGTGGGATTGGTTTGGAAGTAGTGTGTTCATGAAAAGGCCTCTGCATATGAGATGGCTTACTGGTCTTACGACCGGAGCCACTTTGACGACATCTTCTGGATATCATGGAAGTAATTTTTCAGATAGTTACAAGCTGTTTGCTACTCTAAAGGAGACTTTGAATATCATCCTGAAATCTCAGTTCATTTCATACTTTGAGTGCTAGGTTGAGAGCAAATCATAAGGAATTTTCGAAGAAGGGATTTTTCGTTGTCCCCACCACAAAATCAGATATTCATGTCATTGAAAATTTTCAATACAAAGCGCATAGATATGGAGAGGTGCAATTTTCTCCACAAAATGAAAAATAAAGGACGATAAAGAAACCTTGAAGGATTCCGGAAGAATGGAAATCTTGTCCAGTGCGTATCCCCATTCAGGTGCTTGCACCACCCAGTCCAAGTTCGTTAAGTAAGGCCACATGCTGAGCTTTCTTATCGAAACTGTCAAGGTTGTACACGCGTTGCATTTCTGCCCGTAATTGTTCTGCTGCCTGCGCCAAGTTTCGACTCTAAAAAAAAACAGAGATCGTCTGCACTATCGTACACAAACATACTGAGTATCATCGTCTCAGTATCTCTTCTAGCGAATACCTAGATGTGGAGTAAACCTAGCGAATTGCATTATATCGATTTTTCGGAAATTCGGACCATTTGGCCTCTTCAGCCTCCACAGAATCTTGCGTGGCACAATTAACCGTACTAGACACCACTCTGTTAATCATTATTTTCCGCTTTAGCTCGGCTATCATCAGATTAAACGCTAGTGCTTTGCTAGAGTGGCACGATATGGTATGAGAAAAATGAGTGTGAAATAGGTGGAAATTTTTAGAAGGGTAATTTTTGAAAGAACGCCGTTACGGTCATTTTGAACAAAAATGGGGTGCATATCATACACAGTTGGTTTACTGTCGAAGAAGAAGCCAAGGTGACGCTGAAAACATGGGCACTGTAGACTTCTACGGAGATGTTTGTTTGCCACAGTTGCTCATCGTTCTTGATTTATACCAGCTGGTTTGAGGTTTGAGGTAACGGCTAACAACGTACCTGTGTAACTCCAACGCCTGAAAGCGAATTTCAACTGTTTTAACTCGACAGCAGATACCCTAAAAGATTTACAGGTCTCAGTGTGCATTTCCTTCATACTTAGTGGTATTTGAAGAGAACATTTGTAACTGAGGTTTCATTGCTGGTTGTTGGTTTGCCCGTTTAGCTGAGTATTTTGGTTGCAAACGTTTTATCACCAGTCGAGGTGACATCATCTGTATGTTGTGATTGGAAATGCGCTTCGACTGGTGATGAAGCGTTTGCATCCACAATGCCCAACTCAGCGAACAGACCGACGGCTACACTTGGTGCTACTGAACACAGTATTCCACTAGCCTACTGTTAACATTCCAAGTCATAAAAAGCCAATAATCAGTCTCGAAAGGAAATGTCATCGGGGCTGGATGAAGTCTCTTGCTGATTTGGAGTTGGTTCCTCAGAGGTATTCAACTTTTCTTCTTTAATAAGACGACATCCCCTCTCAAAAAGTACCTCAATCGAAAACTACTGAGTAACAACGAAATATACTCATTTGTATGTCAATGTGGTTTTCACGAGTGAACCAACTGAGTCTCACGTTTGTGATCGTCTTCAACTGAATGTACTGCACCAAACCACCTAATGTTTCAGTTGGTACGGTACGCTGTATCGAAATACGTCGTATAGACTTAACACACTGCTCATAGGGTTCCTGTGTTACGTCTACTAAGCGATAGGTTTTCTTCCTTTTGAGTTAACCGTTTCACGCACGAAGTATGAACTTAATATCTTTGCGGACCATGCTTGCACTGATGACTCCCCGCATGTTGAAGAAACGTTTGCAAGCCGAGTGCCAAGCTCCGCAGACAGATCAACGACCAGTTGATCAACAGCCAATTCGTTAAGATGCTCATCAAATGATAGAACTTGTCTGAGAATAAGCCATTTCAGAAAACCTTCGCACCAAAATTCTCTGTTATACGGGTAACTCATCGCTCTTCGCGTGGTCAACTTTTCGGCTACCATCCCCACAAAGTGTCCGGTCGGTAACTACTGGGTATTTAATCATCCGGTCTGCTAGGTGGCTTTCAGCAGGTCATTAGGTGTTTTAATCTCAGTTTGTGGTTTGTCACAGTTTCCGCGGTTCGTTCACAAAGCCAAAGAAAATTCAGGGCTGTCTATCAAAGGAACACTCCCCAGAGAGAGTGTGCTTTCAAGATGAGAACGAACTGCCTTAGTCTCAATTTTATTGCATCACAGGATATAGGATGCCTCACGGCAAAGGTATCTCTAACATGGCTATCCAGAAGAACGATTCCGTTTACATAGCATCCCGTTCCCAAAACTACGGTGCAGGTTATTCGGAGCGTGTGACAGCGACGGATCTCCATTCTGTATCCGTTCTTTTGATTATCATTGGTACCGTGGCATGAATACCAAGGCAGACTTCAGAGTGACTTCTATGCTGCAACTGTTGGTGACATTCATCACTCATCCCTGAGGACCAATATCTCGGAGCAGTTATACGTACACAGAAGAGCAACAAGGCATGTGTGGGCTTATTTTGTTGAACGGTACGTTGCACTTCATAACAGGCGAACCTTCATGCTCGAGCATCTCTTTCAGTAAATGAGATTGCTATTATTTCGCTGCTTTCTTCAAAAATCACAAGACAGGACTACCGGAAGGAGACGTCAATGAGAAGTTTGTGTCTAACTATGGGAACTATGAGCCAATTTCCGGTGTTCTCGGGTATTATCTGATGAGTTAGTTTGCCCAATGGCGAAGCCAGTTGCTTAGAAACTACTCAGAAAATAAACCACTTCGCTAGAGTAAAAAACGTAGAGAACCCTCTTCAAAAAATCACGATCAGCACCAACTAGCAGCATCCGTGGAAAGCATTCTGCATTTCTGTTCTGTTTGCTCCCTTGTTATTTCATTGATCGAGTACATGTACCGTCAAATTTCTTACGAAGGTGATGGGCGATCGATGTGCTTGAGTGTTTTTTGCCATGCACTCTCCACAGTGCCTTAGCTGACCAAAATTCGGCTGCAAAAAGACTACTCAAAGAGTTTGCGCCCCCTCTTCCCCAGCCAGAGCACTTCCAAGAAGGTCAGTTCTGAGGATGTGCGTCCTCGGGGGGGTTGGTATTCTTTAAAAGCCTGGAAAGCTCCGCCAGATTAGTGTACCACTGTCGATGGGAAAACCGGGCCCGAGTTGTTCGTTGTGCCTCTTTGAAATATTCATTCTTTATCCCAATTAGGTTGTTCTTGTGACGGCACGAAGAATTTAGACTGAAGGCAGGTTACACAAATGTTGAAATAGCGTTTGCCCAATCAAAAGAAAGAGCAGTGTGATGCTGTGCGTAATACGGTGTTGCGCTCTAAGGTCACTGTTGCGAATTAATTGAATGGCGTTTTTTTTGCAAAAAAATCTCTATGATATGACTTACCTCTTGAATTTTTGCCTCCCTTTCTTCAAGAAACTTTTGAACATGCTCTTCCTTTTGTTTCTGCATAGCTTCAGCCGCCCTTCGCCATTCTTCTTGGCGTTGTTGTATTCTAAAGTTGAAATATCATGAAGGAGAGATTCAGTTGAGTCTCCGTGAAAACCAAATTGATATGCGAATGAGTATATTTTTCGAAAATATCACATTGTTATGAGGGTATGTAGTGGAAGATTAATTCTAGAGTAGACACCTGTTTCTAACCAGCTCACATTTTTGATTATGTTCATATCAGCTTGGGCGGGCAGCTCACGGCGTGGCCAAGCGTCTCTCAAAAAGGTCTCAACAATGACCACACACAAAAGACAATCACAGGCCTTCGTGGCCATACAGATGAAGCCGATGTGATTCATGCTTCTGTCTCGATCCCATTACGCTACCCTAACAGGCGATTTCTAGTGTTCGGTGAAAGAGTATCGTTCAGAACCATATGTGCACAGGAAATAGTGTTTAGAAGTTGTTATCTACACTTTAATCACCCCTCATAACCCGTCCTTAAAACAGTTCTCAGTTTGTTGTCTCCGTGAAAACCAAATTGATATGCGAATGAGTATATTTTTCGAAAATATCACATTGTTATGAGGGTATGTAGTGGAAGATTAATTCTAGAGTAGACACCTGTTTCTAACCAGCTCACATTTTTTATTATGTTCATATCCCCCATTCCCATTTAACTTCGTGATCGATGAAATCATAAGGTGAACGCTGGAAGGCCTCGAAAACCCTGGTGTTCAGATAGCGTGTGACGAAAACCTTACCACTCTGGAATATGCAGACGACACCGTTCTCATCTTCGAAGAGGAGGAGAAGGCGCAAGTATTCTTGGATGAACTGACCAAAGTCATCCCGTCCTTTGGTATGCACTTTGCACCCACAAAGTGTAAGGTCATGCTTGTGGACGTGCAGTCACTGAACACGCCACTTACGATCCAGGGAGAGGCACTGGAAGTTGTGGAGCGTTTTACGTACCTTGGAAGTTGTATTAGTTCTGATTGCAGTGTGACAGATGAGGTGAATGCACGAATCTGCAAGGCTCGGGCCGCGTTCGCTAAC